CGTCTGCGTCTTCCGCGGCACTCTCCACGCCGTCGACAACACAGGCCGCACCGTCACCGTCGCCCTCCCCGACGCCTCGCTCGCCCTCGCCGCCGCCCCCGTCTTCGGCGGCGACAAGAAGTTCCTCGTGGAGTCCGACGGCGCGCTGCTGCTCGTCGACCTCTTCCTCTCCAACGACCGCGAGTTCGAGGATTTCGACGACTTCGACGCGTTCGAGTGGGAGAGGACGGTGCGGTTCGACGTGTTTAGCCTCGACCGGGAGGGGAAGAGGTGGGTCGAGGTGAGGAGCTTGGGGGACAGGGTGCTGTTTCTGGGCGACGATTGCGCCTTCTCTGCTTCCGCCAAGGATTTGGGCGTTCGGAGAGGAAACTGCGTCGTTTTTAGGGATGATGGATTGGGTGGCACAAGGGTTCAAAATGGAATGGGGGTTTTTTATTTGGATGATGGCAAAATTTCTCCCTTGCCAGAGTGTCCCGACTTTGCTCAGTTGTTCCGCCCGCCGGATTGGCCCAGCTTGCAATTGCATTGAGGTATGTATGATTCAAGGTTTGGGGTTGTTTTAATGGTGAATTTTGCTATGAGTGTTTCTTTTCATTGCTTGGTGGATGTTTGGTTTCCAATTGGGAGGTTGCAACATGCGATTGATATTCAATTTGGAATACAAGTAAAGGGAGTGTTGCTTTGAGCTTCATTCAAATTTAAGGCTTTGTTTGGTGCCGATTCGCCACTTATAAGTTATGTTTGCCGAGTAAACTCAGTTTGCTGATATGCTTAGCTTCTTTTAATAGTACTTTTGGACTCTAGTATTTGGAGTTTCTCAAGAAACACTTATAGGAAGAAAAAAAAAAAAGAACGAAAAATGAAGTAAACTTCTCTGCAAGTTAATTTGTAGAAGCTTTCTTGTATAGCTGCTTCAATTTTTTAATATAAGTTTAAGCTAGTTTTAGATTATAGAGAAACTTAGTTCATTTTTGTTTTATTTTTCTCGTATAAGTGTTTCTAGAGAAATTTATCTGACCAAACCCTTGGTATAAAACTAAGTTTCAATTAAAAGCAATTCCGTCATTGTTGCTTTTGCTAACTCAGTTTGCAAAATGAAATTCACTCAAACTTAAGTTTGCAAACTTTAATCCAAACATGCTCTAAGTTGGCAAATTCAGTGTTATTCATTTATTGTAGAACACCATATATTGCTAGTTCTGTTGTGGTTCTACAAAGCAATCTTCTGTCCTGTGTTTTCCAAACTTAGTAAATGAGGTGTTACTTCATTGTTAATTTACACATTTCTAAGGTTTGGTGGATTTAAAGAAGTGGTTGACAACTGTGTGATGTTTACGGAGAAAGTATAGATGTTTGACTTGGTTCTTTTATTGCAAAAAAGCTGAAAAGTGGAGTAACATAGATGAGCACTGTGCAATCAGATTCATGTTGCTCTCTTCCTAAACCTGATACTGTTGCTTAATCTTGAATAATAGTCAGCTAAATGCTTTAACATGGTTTCTGGTGTAAAATGTTCATTCATCAGTGATACATCCCTTATTGAGGCTCATTTAGTGTCCATACATGGATGGTATTTTCCCTGATGACATGTATGTTTCTTAAGGATCTTTGGAAAAGTATATCATAAAAAGGATTTGCATATTACTATCATAAAATATAAGTAAACATTCTTCATTTAGGTACTGTGGATCTTCTTATGTACAGTTTGTTTTCTCATTCTCTATGAAAATCCTTTATTCTATTTGGTGATTATTGTTACACTGATAGAACAGTGCCAACCAAACCATTGCAGCCCAAAATTAACTTTGAATCCTCCTGGGTCAAACACACATATGTGAGTGCCTCCATTATTCTTTAATCTTCTGTTTCTTGCTGTGTTTTTGCTCATAAAACAGTGTCAATGCTTCTGCAACTTTGATGAGGTCCCATTGCTCCACTCCATTCTGCTGGGCCCATTTTCCTAATCTTAGAAAATCACTTCCCTTTTCATAATCATTATTCTTCTCTTTAATCAATTGGACTTGATCCATGAATTTAGAAAAAGATTTCAACCCCTTCTGTTTTCTCTGATCCTTCATCCTTGTCTCTGTCCAGCATGATATCAGCCACCAAATGAGCACCAAAGTTTGGTAGGTCCAACTGTGGGAGCTTGAACAACATGTGCAAAAACTCTGTTGGATCGAGCGCTTACCACTAGGCCAAAAGCTATAGCTGATAGTCAGGGCGCAACTCTTTCTACTTAAGAAGTAGCAGCCCAAGCGCTATGATTCAACAGTGACTTGGCCCACCTAGCCTCCGCCACGGGACAATTGATGCAACCCGCAACAATCTCCCCCTCAGCAATCGCCCCGCTGAGTATCGAACTCATGACCTTGGCTCTGATACCAATTGGTGGATCGAGCGCTTACCACTAGGCCAAAAGCTATAAAGTCCAATACTGCTGATGACCCTTTGGCTCCTATGGGCGAATGTAAGTAAGGTGGCTCTAATGGTGGTGACTGGTGATGGGTCAACTGATTTGGTTCTAGTTCGCTGAAGGTAGCTTCTTCCCCAAAGTGGCTATTGTTTTCCACCTTCCAATAGTCATATTTGCTTCTGTTTTCAGGTTGTTGATCCAGAATGTTGAGTGGTTATGACTTTCTCACTTCTCCACTCTCAACTTCTCACTCTGTGTTTCTTTCATTCTTCTTGAACTTGCATCTCTACTTGTCGTGTTTGTTGGGTTTCTCTCTCCTGGGTTGCTTCTTTTTTCAACATTTCTGCTCCTCCTAATTCTTGCTTCTTTTATGTATCTTTTTCTGACTTCCTTTTGTCATCAGCTTCTGCCCTCTGCTCCATTGGTTCATGGCTGTCTTCTTGAATCCAAATATTTGGATCAAATTCTGGCTGGAACTCTTTGAGCAAAGCCTTCACAAATAGCCACCATGATGCACTTGAATGGTCCTCTTTCCACACATGCCACCAAACAAAAGCACGTTCTCACATAGCCTTCCCAACCATTTGTATCTTTTCTTGCTCAGTTATGCCTAAGGCATCAAAATGCTGCTCCATGTTAATCAACTACCAATAGGCTTCTTTTCCTTCAAATTCTATAATCATCTGCAAGAATTGATACCCACAGCTCCAAGATCAGAGCTCTGATACCAGTTGATAGAAACTGGATGGAAAATGGAAGTCAAACAGAATTTCTTTATTGATTGATTGTATTTCTACAAAGAATTCCCTGGATATTTGAGAGATCCAGGTTTTACCCTAGTCCCAATTCTATTTCACCAAATGATTGACTCTTCTTCTCAACTCCTTTTCATATTTATAGGCTGGTATGCTAACACAAATCCACCCTTAATGGGCCTAATCAGTTATAGGCCCTTTCCACTAATTACTAATATAACTAACTGACCTAATGACCTATCACACTGGAAATTTTGTATATTTTTCTCTAATTTTGAAAGGATAAATTTTATATGGCATTTGCATAATTTATGTATTTTGTTGGTAATTTTAAATAGAATGTCATACTCATATATACTTATGCATTTTCTTGCTGCCTGGTATGTAAGCCCTTGAGGTGGCAATCATTGTATGCCATTGTTCATTACTATTTAGTTACATGGGCACAAGTATAACTGCAGATACAAATATTTTATTCATTTTTTTGTTCAATCTTGCTCCAAGTTAAAAATTATCTCCCAAAAAGGTACTGTTTTGGTACACATCGGGGAAATGATCCTATAAATGACTTACTTTCCACCTACACTATTATTTCTTTATTTAATAACTGAGAAATTGCCCTGGGTTGTGTGACTTTTCTAAATTATTTTGTAGTGTATGACTTTGAGAATAATCTAAGATTGAAAAGGATGAAATTGCTAATATGGCTCTTATATGATCAAAGCAGGTTCAGTTAGAATAGCTGATCTTTAAGAAGATTATGCCCCCAGTCACCTAATCTCAGTTAAGTAACATGGGTGAGTGCTCCCGTGTAAGGTTGAATAAGACTAAGATGCTTGGAAGTGGTAGACCTATTTGCATCACTTGTTAAGCTCTTAACATTTCGTTGAGTTTGATCAAGCTTATATCGCTTATTGAATTACTGATTGCTATGATCATAAAATTGTTATCTCTTGTACATACAAGGTTCAACAGCCTAAACTTTTATCACTGCGCTAGTGGAGGCAAGACAAAGTCACTCTAAACTGCTTTCCATCGAGACTTGTCATTTCATCCTAGTGGACATTTTCTGTATAGTTATTTACATTTTTTTCATATGCAAATAATGAATTTGTAGAATTAATAATTCATTTGGCATACCTGTTCTTCCTTTAAATGACAAAGGATGGGGAGGGAACAGTATATGATACAAATGCTGAATCTTGAATGACTATGTAATTCAGAACTGAATAATATTTTGGCCTCTTTGAGTGTCCCGCGATGCACTCTTGAGCCCCATCTCAAACAGCAAAATTTCATATGCTGTCAAGTTGCTGCTGAACTTATTGTTGCTCCTCGCTAATTGGTAAACAATGCTGTTCTGGGAGGACACCTATCGAAAAGAGTTATGTTATAAGGAAGATAAAACCAAGTTCTCCAACACCCTTCAAATTTGGTCAAAGCATATCTTTGCAAGCATATGTCTGATTTCTTGCCCATTGTATGTATCCGCAACTCCTTTAACTAAATCCCTCCACAACTAAACACCTCATAACTAAAACCCTTGCACTATTAATATTTTAAGGGCACATAATTTATTCGAGAGGAATGTTAAGAGGTACTTTAACTATCTTTATTCTCTATTATTAGTTGAAAATTATAATTCTGTGCATTTCCTGTTTTATTTAATGAGTCTTTTTTCATTTAATAGTAGAATCTATTAAAATTTGTTATCTCTAATAAAATTCAGTCAATAGTTGAGACTTTAAAATAGTGGCTGGTGTAAAAAAAAAATGGTAGTGTTACTAGCTGTACCGGGAGGACCCTATTGGTCACGTTGACCAACACGTACCGTTCCGTCAGACACCCATGCGAACTGGACCATACCCAAGGTTGACGTTAGCGTCGGCTCGGCTTATAGCCGAAGGTCGAGATTAGTCAACTGACACATGTCGGCTCGGTTGAAGGCCGATGCAAATAGCATGATGCATCCCCGTACGTATCTGCTCGGCCCAATGCGGATCCGATAAGATTACCAAGTAAACGTTTATCGGCCCGGTCAACAGCCGAAGACATGCAACCTCCCAAGCATTAGCCTGTCGGCTCGGCAATGTGCCGATAGGTTAAACGGGTTATAGTACAAATCACACTTAATAAGGACAAGTGCATAATTAAGACATGATTAGCTGATTAGCATCGTATTACCTAATTTGGTAAAGATTAAAATAGGCCCACCACGTTCAGGCCCATGTCAGGTATTATAAATAGGCCACACGTAACGAGGTACGTCACTGTTCATTAATTACCCTAGAATATTGTGCTTGTCCTAACTTGAGCGTCGGAATGCCTTTTGCAGGTACCTCCCCCCTCTGAAGAGTTCGTTTGAAGTATCCGTTCGGCCCTTCTCACTAAGAAGACTACGCTCAGGCAGGTACATGGGGCTGAGTGGGTTTTTTCGGATGGTTTCCATGTGGGGTCTCGGTACTGGTTTTTCAGAGCAGCATTCTCTTCTCTCAATGTGGCCATCTCGGCGGCGTCTCTCTCTCGCTGCTGTTTCATGGCGATCATTTCTTCCTTCATCTGGCGTACCATATCGGTCAAGTTTGTCTCCTCAACCGTCTCGGCCCCGGACTGTTGCTCCTCTTCGGACTGTTGCCCTTCAAAATTAGTATTCCTTGTCTTTACCATGATTCTTTTACTCGTAAACTTTCGATGTTTCTGCAATGCTTTCGGTTCGGCCCCACGGTGGGCGCTAAAATGTACTTGCCTGAGGGTACACTCGTAGTCTTCTTAGTGAGAAGGGCCGAACGGATACTTCAAACGAGCTCTTCAGAGGGGGGAGGTACCTGCAAAAGGCACTCTGACGCTTAAGTTAGGACAAACACAATATTCTAGGGTAATTAATGAACAGTGACGTACCTCGTTACGTGTGGCCTATTTATAATACCTGACATGGGCCTGAACGTGGTGGGCCTATTCTAATCTTTACCAAATTAGGTAATACGATGCTAATCAACTAATCATGTCTTAATTATGCACTTGTCCTTGTTAACTGTGATTTGTACTATAACCCGTTTAACCAATCGGCACATTGCCGAGCCGACAGGCTAATGCTTGGGAGGTTGCATGTCTTCGGCTGTTGACCGGGCTGGTAAACGTTTACTTGGTAATCTTATCGGATCGGCATTGGGCCGAGCCGATACGTACGGGGATGCATCATGCTATTTGCATCGGCCTTCAGCCGAGCCGACATGTGCTAGTTGACTAATCTCGGCCTTCGGCTATAAGCCGAGCCGACGCTAACGTCAGCCTTGGGTATGGTCCAGTTCGCATGGGTGTCTGACGGAACGGCACGTGTTGGTCAACGTGACCGATAGGGTCCTCCCGGTACACTAGCATTTCTCACGTTTAATATACTCAATTTTCCTATAAATTGAGTAGGAAAATACTTGATATTTCCTGTAAATTTTGAGTAGGAAGAGATTCTACAGATATTGCAATTTGCAAATAAAAACTACTAGCAAAGTTAATGTACAGTATGTAATTCGAATAGGACTAGCAAATTGGATTAAAAGATGGAAAAAAATAAATAAATCTTTGCGGTACATCTGGAATGCAGAGACAAAACAAGAAGCTGACTTCTCATCGGTGTAGTCTGCCATATTGTTCCAGAATTCAAGAGTTTGAATTGAACTACCATGTTTACATGTTATGAAAAAGTTTTATGAAGCAAGTTTAGCAGATCTGCATGATCAAAGTGTCAGGGAATCTCCTTCGACCCATGTTTCGAATGCAAGGCCCAAGAGAATGTTATCCAGCCCAAGTTGTATGAAGGACTATGTGTAGTCTGTTTTCTGATTGGGGTTTTCATGTGTTCCTATTAGGATTTGTTGCTTTCAATAATCTTTGGGTTGTATCTTGGTTGAAGCCCCACACGAGACTAGTTTATATGTTGGGATTTTCATTGTAATGGGTTACGATGATAATTCCAATTGTATATTTTTCTTAGCATTTCTCTTTGGTAGATATAGCTCTTGGTGCTTTCATGTTCGTTCACCATGCCTCCCAAAGCAAATCGGGAAGCTGATCCTAAAGTTGTTTGTGATCTTGATGATCCAATTTTCGCTCTCACTGCACAACTTGGGACCCTTCAAACCTTGATTGATGCTCAAAACCAACTTCATGATTAACATCATGATTCACTCACCACTCTTATGTCTATGCTTATGGAAACCTTCACTCAACCATCGGTTCTACCATCACCTTCTTCATTATTTCCAAGTTCACTTTATCCTTTTTTCCAACCCATTATAACCTCGGTCCCACCGTCGAACTCGTTTCCTCTAATCTTTTTCCAATTTAATCCTATATATTAAATGTGAATTGAACCGGTTTCCTCGAATCCTTTTCTAAGTTAATCTTATATATTAAACGTGAATGACTGACTATTTTACTTGAAAACAATTTTATGAATTATTCTTTGATGGAAATATTCTAAATAAATAATTTTTTATTTATCATATTTATTTATGAATTAAAATTTTAGTATTTTAAAAATAAATCATAAAATTATTTTATACATTAATTCGAATTAATGAAACGAAGTATCAAATGATTTTCAAATTTTTAAAAAATTTGCAGATTTGATCTATGCATTAAAATTTTTAAATTGAACATTGGATCATTAAAATTTGATGTAGAACATGAGTCATTGAACGAAGTAAGTCTAGGTAGACTTCTAGAGTAAAAGGATCCCTCTTATATATATATATATATATATATATATATATATTAGCGATGTCAATGGGGTCCCGTGGGGGCGGGTAATGGTAAACCCGTCCCCGCCCCGCTAGATGAAAATTGGCCCTATATTTGCCCCATACCCGCGGGAGTATCCATAAATTTCTTGAATACCTGTGGATATCCATGAATATTTATAAATTTTTTAAGAAATAAAAAAAATTAGATTACAAATAATTTTCAAGTTTATATTTAATGTCATTGAAATATTAAAAATAAAAATTTAATGTTAATTTTAAACTTGTAATTAACTTTAATTTTATTAAAATAATAACAAAAAAACAAGATAATCAATAACTTAAAATACATCAATCTCACAAGTAAGTGGAAGTCTCATATCACAAAACTACAATAATTCAATCTCATAATTCTAATGGAAAGTAAACAATTTAAAATACATAAATCTTATTTGTCCAATCAAAGCTAAAAAATTAATCAAATTATCCATCTTATTGGTACAAGGATAATTAGGATATTTAAGAAATGTTATTAAACGGGTACTCGCGGGTATGGATACCATCATACCCGCCCCCGTCCCGTTTATAAACGGGTAAAAAATTATCCATCCCCATTATCCGTGGGTACCCAATTAGCCTACCCATTTATTATCCGTAACGGATTTTACCCATAAATATTCACGGGTGCGGGTATTAATACACGTTGTCAGTTAATATCAGTATTAATTGTCACGTCAACTAACAGTATAATTGATGGATGTTTTTTTTTGTTGGTAAAATAGGGGGCTAAAGCCCGATCAAATAATCAATAAATTGAAAGAAAAGCAGAATTATATGCTAATAACAAGTGATAAATAAAAGACGGAGGAGACTCGTAAACAAAAAAGTCTTCCTCTAAAACCATCCTGCGCTTAGCAAGAATGGCCGCAACTAAATTAACTTCTCTTAAAATATGGTAAAATGAAAACAAGGAGAATTGATTACTCAGCTCTCTTATCTCTTGAACAAGGTCAAAATATGGGTGAGAACCAAAACAACCTTTATTAACAAGCCTCACTGCAGTGAAAGAATCCGACTCAATTATCACCTGACGACCCAAATTCCTATTAACTAGAATGCGCAATCCATGTAGAATGGCCCATAGCTCCGATTTAAGGATGGAGCACATACCTAACTTCCCTGTGAATGCCACCACGAACCTGCCATCTGAGTCCTGGATCACTCCCCCACATGAGGCCATATTCTCTCTAGACAAAGCCCCATCACAATTTAGTTTCAAGATACCTTCTGGAGGTTTCATCCAATTGAGTCTAGAGCTATAATTAACTTCCCCAACTTGTGATTGTTGATTAAGACCATATGTGGTAGCAGATATCATTCGAGCATTTATTTCAGCTACTACTTGATTAGTTGTGATGGATTGGCCTTGAAAAATGGCTTTGTTTCGGCGGTGCCATAATGAATCCAACGTAATAGCAAATCTATAGTTCCACCCAGGAGGGGAACGATTAGAGTTTGATAAGTTCTTCAACAACCAGGGTTGTAAATTATCTTGATCCGCAAGCATCCAAGA